TAAATGATAACTTAATACTCGAATCCACTACCACTATCATTTCATTTCATATACATGCAATTTCTTTTAGAATATTTGATTGATTACAGTGCTATGTTTTAACCAATAGCGGTATATCTTTTGACCTCTCTCTCTTTCTCTCTTTCTCGTAATTTTGTTCAAGTTTTCCTGGATAAGTGACTTGTATGATTAATGTTTGGGAAATGCTACCGCTATATCAAATCTGGTTTTTCTCTTTTAGAAATCAGACGCAACGACACAGCAGTTGATGAGCATGCTAAGGAGACGGGTCTTACAAAGGGAGAGACAGTAATGGTAACATCTACATTATCATGTTCGCTTTCTAGTAGTGAGTTGGTTGCAAAATGCGGTTCTACAACCCCGCTGGAATGCAGTGACCCATTTTATACATCTAGGCCTACCATATTGTTAAAAAAAAAAAAAAAAACACCGTATACCCTTATGTAATCAAGGATGAAAATGTATTGGAATGAAATTAACAAGACTTTCCAATTAAGGAGGAAACAAATTGTGAAAGGACGCTGGGACCCTGTTCCATGGATATTAGGCACCGTTCACTTGAAAAATCTAAATTCTAAAAATCCAAAAATCCATTGGTGGTATCTAGTGATCACGGTCTGCGCGCTGAATACCCCGCTGCGTAATTAACTAGCAGCGCGAGCGAGTTACTTCCAAAGCTCGGCTGTGCTTGGAGGAGATTCTGGCACCTTGCGCATGCGTAGTAATAAGTTAAAGAGAGAAAATGGCGGTCGCGGTTGCTTTGAAAAATGTGTTTGTCGATTTTGTGCAACAACAAGACGAAGAAGATGAGATCCATATACACACAACAGATATGAGTGGAACCTTCATGGTCCGATGGCAATAGAGATGCTACTGCGCATGCGTGAAGGTGCCAGAATATTCATTTATCATAATAATAATTTATCATAAATCAACGTCAAAATGATTCATATAAAAAGGAAAATTAAGTGACCAACCAACTTTTTTTTTTGGTGCCCATTATTTGAAACGTCATAATCTGACGCTGAAGTAAGAAATGGAGCTGGTTATACAATGTCAGACACATATACCAAATACTTATTCATGTATGTTTTTTCTTACTGAAAAAAAGAAAAAAATTGTTTGACTTGGTTTGCTTATATACACAGCAACAGTATTTACATGACCACATGTCAATAATTTTAGGAAATTTTGTCCCTTAAAGTCTAACTGAAAGTTCAAATTTCTAATACAAAACAAAATGAGTTTAGTATTGATAGTATTTTGGCATCTCTATTTATTAACAGATTCGCAAGGACAAATATGAGAAAACTGAAGAGCAAACTTTCCCCAACATTATTGAAATTAGTGAAGCTAATTTGCAAGCCAAAGCGTCTCCGGGGAAAGCCGAAACTAGTGGGAGAAATACTGAAGCAACTTGGAATATCTCCAAAACCAAGCCTTTACCAAAAACAAGGACATCGTTCTTGCCAAAAACAACAGTGGAAGCAGAAACGCTGAAAAGTTGTAAGTCGAGAGGGTTCGCAGAAAAGCTACTCAAGGAGAAAGATCCAAAGATGGTTCGTGAGAAAGTATGGAACTTAATAAAGCTTGCTTTCCTCTCTCAATCAACCAACTTCGGTGGATTTCGTTTTACATGGACGCATTAAGGAAGTACTCGACATGTTTACTAAAATGTTGAATCCTCTGAGGTTTCCTTTATATTGCTTAATATCTAAACGCAATTGCGGCGGTTTTGCATAAGGTCGAAATACTCATCCAACACAGTGAATATTTGCACTCTCGCTTTGAATAAATAATACATATATCCTATATAATGTGATTGATACAAACATTTAAATTGTACTCATTTTACCGAGAAAAATTATCAACAAATTTTTGAGTCAAATTGACCACGCATCCGAGTAGAATCGTCAGAAAAAATGTATATATACGGGAACAAAACCAACTTTGTATAGCAGTTGGCTTATTTCTTTAATCTATAAATTGTGTCTTTGTTAAACACACTGATATGCTTTCTTAATTCATCTATTTTTCCAGCTTTCACCCAGGACGAACGCTTCATCAGTTAATACATCGTGGGCAGAGACAATTGTAAAACGGAAAGAATTCATACGCCGGAAATGTGCCCTACACAAAATCAAAACAAGCCCATTACCAGCAGGGCGAACTTTACATCAGTTTTGGGTGGATGATCATCACAAGTTCATCTTCTGTGAAATTCCTAAAGTTGGCTGTACCAACTGGAAAAGAATCATGCTGCTGATGACGTGCAAATTCAACAAGTCTTACATATGGTCCCAAAAAAAGAATGATGTTCACCACGTATGGTCAAACAAAATGTTGAAAAGATTAAAATCATTTACACGCAGATCAGACAGCGACGCCAGACTTAAAAACTACACTAAAGTTCTTATCACGAGGCATCCATTCGAGAGACTGGTCTCATTCTTCCGAGAAAAACTCCAAAGAGCAAAAAATGATATTTACGACCCAAGAATTGCAGGCTACGTTTTACGTTCTATCCACAAAAAACGGAACGTAACACATAAAATGATGATGGAGTACAATGTAACATTCCCAGAATATATCCAGTATGTGATAGATACCAAAATGCATCCCGATGTCCACTGGGGTATTCAGCACGCCTTGTGCCACCCCTGCAGCGTCGATTATGAAGTCATAGGAAGATACGAAACCATTGTTGAGGATTCCAACAATCTTTTGAAAATGTTAGGGATTGACGAAATCACCTATCCGCAATCAGACAATGTTGACTTTGCGAAAAAGACAAAGGATTTGGTCTCCAAACATTTCCAGACTCTTAAACCTTGGATGATGAAGGAACTGCAGACTTTGTATAAAACTGATGCAGACATTTTAGGTTATGATCTTGATTTAAAGTTAGAATAATCTATTATGTCGGAGACAGGCTTTTTTATTTTCTTTAATTTATTTATTGATTTATTTATAATTATTATTATTATTATTATTATTTGGTTCAGGGTCATAAAACATTAAGTTAAGTCAGAAAAATATTAACCTAATCTTAACATTGGGACAACCTTTTTCATTTATTAATAAATTTGATAGATCCCGTAGGTAATAATGCAGGTGAGGAGGATGATTATAAATGGATTATGCACCTTCTAAAATTGCACATTATCTAGGGAGAAAATACTCCATTCCACATGGACTTAATTATCATAAGGATCCTTGTATACTTAGCACATATTTAGCCAAATAAATAAAAATATGCAATAGAAGTTTTAACTTTAAAAAGATTATTATACCATTATGTAACATAACAAAAAACAATTTCCTTGAAAACTCCGATATCACTCTATCTGAAACCGGTGAAAAAGTCATCTCCACATCAAGTTTCAGATATAAAGTTCCTAATTTTGTGTGATGAAAATAGAGACTAATACGTTGTTGTTTGACTACACACTTGACATTTAATATGGAAATTTTTCCAAATCTTTTTTCATCATTTTTTTCCCTATTTCGCAGACTGATAATGAAAAAAGATAAAAATCGTGTTCTAATAACTTTTAATAATATCTTTGATGTCATTGCGACATCAGTTCATTAATTGAATTCGCCAGTAAAGCAAACAAAAATTCATTGCTGTTGCTAGGTCATACGACAGCCATAAAAAAGCGATATTTTGGATCTCCATGTTTTCCTAATCGTCATAGAGTTACACGCCTCATGTCAGCTGTCTAGTCACAGCAACGGTCGCTAGTGCGTCTGACCGCATCTGGCTGCTACCAGCGCTCTCAAGCGACAAGGCATTCCTTGAGATAGGTTTTCAGGGTTTGATCTAGAATAACAATCCAGGCATCGGTCAAATTTTGTCCGATTTGGTTCGCTTTTGTTGTACATATAGGACCAGTTGGCCGTTGATTCGGCGAGTAATGACCTAACCACATGTTGTCTATGTGGTTCAAATCTGGCGATCTTGATAAACGCTGGTCGTTGGAGTTAGAGTCAGGGCTCAACGAAGGTCGTTTTATCCTCATCACATTGTCACGTTGAACTCTGTAGTATCTGAATTCACCTCTTTCAAATGAAACAGGGAAAGCAACAGTGAATGAGTTTTTTTTTTTTTTTTTTTTTTTTGACATTTTCCAACTATTTAGATTGCTACTTTATTTCACAATTTTATTTTATTCAGATATACAGGTGGTATATCTCGTGTCACGAAGGCCACGGTACCATCCAGGCATACCAGAACCCAGGGGCATCAGCAACCGTGAAGAACTGCTGTGTTCATATCATGTGGGAAAGCCTCAACTAGGTCCTTAGATTGCGCTATCAACAAATATCAGGGGTTATAATGTGATATTTTACTTCAAGGATTTGTTAGACCCCGCAATGAATACAATTCTTACAGTATTGCGTAGCAAGGGGTTCCATTCAATAAAAAAGCAGACTTATTTCCACTTTTCAGAATATGGCAGCCACAGACATTCAATGCAAAAACTTTATAGGGGCCTACTGACTTGCAGATGATTAAACATCTAAAATTAAAATATACCCTGGCGGATGCAGGTGGCTGCATACTCCGTCGCCAAAGGCGCATAGGTTAAAGGAAAACATCCAAGAATTCATTCTAAAGTTTAGGCTTATCATCCAAACCATATAGAAGAGGCTATTCAAGGTACTTGGTCTCACACAGTCAGTTGAGAAATATTTAACCAAATGAACAACTATGACTTATACCAATGATATTGTAAAAGCTTTAAATTGAAAACAATTGTAGTAGATTTATTATGCATGTTCAATCAGTTTGATAGTGGATTATGTCAATCTTGTAGCTGCTAACGATCTATTATTAATAAATGGTTAATTGCTAGTTAATTATTTGTCTTGGTAGAAGTTTGCGCTGAGTGCTTTTCTAATGTTTTGTTTTATTTATTTATTTATTTATTTATTTATTTATTTATTTATTTATTTATATGTTGATAGACAACATGAAGACCAGGCCGGTAGTAATTCGAGGTATTGCTATTTTCACTGTCGGAATAATAGCATGGATGGTTTATGCACCTCTAAGTGAGTAAATGATAACTTTATACACGAATCTATCACCACCAATTTCATATAAATGCGAATTCTGTCAGGATATATTATTGATTACAGCACTGCCCATCCCTCTCTCTCTCTCTCTCTCCTATTTTTGTTCAACTTACCAAACATGTTCCAGGACAGATTCGATTGATATTCGGCCAATGTCGCCGCCATATGATATCAATATCTAATATAGTTTTATCTTCTCAGAAATCGGACGCAACGACATAGCAGTTGATAAGCACGTTAAGGAGACAGGTCCTATAAAAGGAGGGGAAATGTTGGTAAGATATACATTATCATGTTCGTTCTCTAGGAGTCAGCTGGTTGCAAAAGGCGTAACGAAAAAGAAAATTAAAAGAAATAAAATAGACAAAATTTCAATCTCTATAGACTCTCCAATTAAGAGAAAGAGGAGTGTCAAAGAACGCTCTTCCACAGGATCTGGACATTTAATATCCCTGATAAGTTTAATTTTTCAAAGATAAAAATTTTTCATTAAAAAACATTCGACTTAGTCTGTTTCTATACAGTATTTACGTGACCACATGGCAATAGGAAAAATTGTATCCCTTAAAATCCAATTGAAAGTTCAAATTTCTAATACAAAACAAATAAGTGTTGAAAGTATTTTTTGCATCTCTATTTATCGACAGATTCGCAAGGACAAAGTAAAGAAAGCTGTGAAGCAAACCTTCCCCAACATTAGTGAAACTAGTGAAGCTAATCTACAAGCCAAAGCATCTCTGGGAAAAGCCGAAGCTAATAGAAGAAAATCTGAAGCAACATGGAATGTCTCCAAAACAACCAGCTCACCAAAAACAACAGTATTAGTGAAAGCAGAGACGCTGAAAAGTTGTGAACTGAAAGGATTCACAGAAAAACTACTCACGGAGAAAGAGCCAAAGATGGTTTATGAGAAAGTATGGAACTTAGTTAAGCTTGCTTTACTCTCTCCGCCAATGTCGGTAGATTCTGTTCTGCATGGAAAATGTTTCACGACATCTCGAAGCAATTGTGGCCCTTTCGCAATTGTGGCCAAAATACTCATCTTACACAGTCAATATTTCCACACTCGCTTTGCATAAATAATATATACGTCATATATAATATGATTTAATTGCACTCACTTTACCGTGAAAAATTATCAACAGAAGTCAATTTGACCACGCATCTGAGTGAAATCGTCAAAAAAAATTTTTTTTGTACCATGTAGATTATTTCTCTTATCTATAAATTGCTCTTTGTCAAACACCCTTATATGCTTTCTTTATCCATCTATTTTTTCCAGGTTCCTCCGCGAATGAACGCTTCAACAGTTTATACATCATGGGCAGAGGCAATTATAAAGCGGAAAGAATTCATACGCCGCAAATGTGCGCTACACAAAATCGAGCCAATACCACTACCGGCAGGGCGAGCTTTACGTCAGTATATTGGGTGGATGATCACCACAAGTTCATCTTCTGTGAAATTCCCAAAGCTGGCTGTACAAACTGGAAAAGAATCATGCTTCTGATGACGTGCAACTACAACAGGTCTTACATATGGTCCCTGAGTAAGACTGGAGTACACGAAGGATTGTCCAACAAAGTGTTGAAAAGATTAAAATCATTTAAGAGCAGATCAGACAGTGACGCCAGACTGAAAAGCTACACTAAAGTTTTTCTCACGAGGCATCCATTCGAGAGATTGGTCTCATTTTTCAGAGAAAAACTTCAAAGAGCCAAAAATGATCATTACGACCGAAAAATTTCGAGCTACGTTTTACGTTCTATCCACAAAAAACAGAACGTAACACATAAAATGGTGATGGAGTACAATGTAACATTCCCAGAATATATCCAGTATGTGATAGATACCAAAAAGCATCCTGATATTCATTGGGGTATTCAGCACTCCTTATGCCATCCCTGCAGCGTCGACTATGACGTCATAGGAAGATACGAAACCATTGTTGAGGATTCCAACAATCTTTTAAAAATGCTGGGGATTGACGAAATCACCTATCCGCAGTCAGACAATGTTGACTTTGCAAAATACAAAACCAAGGATTTGGTCTCCAAACATTTCAAGACTCTGAAACCTTGGATGATCAAAGAGCTACAGACTATGTATAAAACTGACGCAGATATATTTGGTTATGATCTAGATTTAAAGTAAGAATAATCTGTTAAGGTCCTAGAATAAAGCGGCGTAAAAGGCTGTTTTTTATTTTATTTATTTATTTATTTATTTTATTTATTTATTTATTGTTGAATTCAGGGTTATAAACATTAAGTCAGAAGAATATTAACCAATCTCAACATTGGACCAACCTTTTACACTTTTTTTGGGGGGTGGGGGGTGTTCAGGGTTATAAATATTAAGTCAAAAGAATATTAACCAATCTTAACCAATCTTAACATTGGACCAACCCTTTCCAATAAATTTGATAGATTCCATAGGCAATGATGCAGGTGAGGAGGACGATTAAAAACGGGTACCTGCACTTTTTTAAATTTCCCATTATCTCGGGAGAAAATATTCCATATCAAGTGGACTTTATTATCATAAGGACTCTTGTATATTTTAGCCAAAACATTTAAAGCATGCAATAAAAGTTAAAGATTTTTAAACCATCCATGTAACATAACAAAAACTGTTTCCTTGAAAACTCTCCACTAGCTCGATATCATGCTATCCGAAACTGGTAAAAAATCACCATCCGTGACACAATAATCTGTCTGGCAATGTCTGTCTTTTTCCCGCTATTCTGGCACAGATTAGCAATTTCCCGCCGAGCTTGGCGGAATGAGTCCAGATTTTTAGGGTGTTGAATCTCCTCCGCATTGTTAACTCCAATCAATGACCAAGGGGCACAATAAGGTTATTATCAGAGCTCAAAAAAAGGTCGTTCCATCCTCAGAACATTGCGTTGCTGCAACATATCAATCAGCATACGAGTACTGTGAGAACTGTCACTATGAAGTTTGAAGTATCCCTTTAGTCACCTCTTGCAAATGGATACTGAAACATAGAAAGCAACGGAGAATGAGTCTTTTTTTCGATATCTTTTCATTATTTGGGTCGCTCCGTTTATTTCATATCAGATTTAAATTTTTTTCAGCACAATTGCTATGTTGTTCAGACATACAGGTGCCTCATCTCGTGACGTGAGAACCATGGAATCATTCAGGCATCCCAGAACCCTGGGGCATCCAGCAACCCTGAAGAACTGCTGCTGTGTTCAGCCCACATCCAGTGCGTCATGTGGGAAAGCCTCACTTAGCTCCTTAGATTGCACAAAAGACGGCTTTTCGGGCTTATAATGTGATTTTTGTTTTCATGGATTTGTTAGTTTCCGCTATGAATACAATTCTAACTGTACTGTGTAGCAATTAAAAATATCAAGGTCTTTCATTCAATAAAAAGCAGACTTATTTTCGCTTTTCTAAACATGGCAGCCACAAACTTTCAATGCAAAAACTATATAGGGGCGTACTGACTTGCACGATGATTAATCATCAAAAGTTAAATAATGCACTGTAAAATGCAGGTGGCTGTATACTTCGACGTCAAAAAGCGAGGACGTAAAACGTACAAACATTCATTCCAAATTTAACCTTATCATTGATACCATTTAGAAGAGGCTATTCAAGCTACTTCGTCGCACCTAGTAAGTGGAGAAATATTTAACCAAATGAACAATGATATTATGAAAGCATTAAATTGAAAGCAAGTTCAGTAGATATGCATGTTCAGTCAGTTTGATAGTGGATTATTTCAGTCCTGTAGCTGATGACGAACGGTTTCATATAAACAGGTAAGTAGTCAAAGTAGGTGTTTACGTAATAATAATATAGAGATGATTTGGACCTAGTTTAGATTATGTGACATAATGCTATGTCCTGAGCATTTGATAACTTTAATACTGCTTTATATTTACACTAATTGTAATGTATCACAGACTTGATACTTAATATGGAATATTTTATATTCATAGGTATGTCTAGGTAAAAATGTATTATTTATTTCTAAAACGTGCATCTCATATGAATTTTGAGAATAACTGAATGCGCAGTCAGGTGTGTCAGTACAATTAAATGACTGCTTTGTCTGAAGCACGGCTGCATTACAAAATGTGTGGTGATTTCTTTGGGTAGCAATCTTTGGTCTATTCTTAGCATGACTATTACAGAGCATGGCTCCGTCCAAAAAAAATGCTCGATATTTCAGCAAAGATCGCGCAGATTTTGAAATTTTACAGTAGAGGATGTTACCGTGCGTAAAAAAAAAAGCGAAGCAAAGTGTAACAGCATTGTTGCTCTGCGCCAGAATCGCGCAAAACAGATATACATTGCCTGACAGATTGTTGTGTCGCAAGGAGAGCTCTGCAAAGGCTTACAGACGTATGCCCAGACTGGTGTGCCTCGACACAGGTCACGCCCAAGGCATCCAGCACTTACCACCGGGAAACAAAATCCATTGTTTTTACGATTTTGCCGCTACAAATAAACAAAGACAGCCAGTTCCCCTCAGAATGAGTGACAAATTGTCTCCAAAAAGCGTTTTTCAGGCTTTTTGTAATTTCCAGACTGGTTTGAGCAGGTCACTATACTATGCAACCTCTGAGGAACCCTCTTTGAACAGCGCATATCGCCGTCTATTTTTGCAATGAATTGGGAACTATTTAAAAAGTGTTTGGGCACAATAATGGAAACTTAGATTTCATGTAAACTTCCAAGGTGGTCAAATGAGAGTTCTCAGACATTCCAAAGAAACCTACAACTAAGTGTGTGTCGCTCCCAGAGCAACTTGGTGAGGTGGGAGCATCTTACTTGGGGAAATTTTCACGTTGATGCCAAAACCTCATTGGTAGTCATCTATAGAAACATTAACTAGAACAAAAACAGGAATATTCTGGAAACCAACTACCTTACATTTGCTAGAGGGCACCTCAGGCACACTTTAACATTACAAGTTGAAGATATCCGTCTACGCATAGCACCTGTACTTGCAGATTACTTGCAGAACCAAAGGTCTGAGCAGCTACCGCTAGTACCGTCAAAATTGCTAGATTTAAAGCCTGGAAAGCTACCAGTAGTACTCGCCGATGGCCTACTGGTCCTACAACAAATCTGAACCAAATTGGACAAGCTCCGACCGACGCCCGGAAAAATATTCCTATTCATACTCCAAGAAACCTGTCTGAAGGAATACCTTACCGTTTTAGAGCCACAGTAGCAGAGGCCAGACGCACCACTGAGCGTTGCTGTGACTAGACACTGATACGAGCGTCCTTTTTGAAGCATTTAACTCTTTCACAGATGATAATTTGGAAAATATGGGGATCGAAATAACGCTTTTAATGGTTGCTGTTTGACTAAGAATCAACCATGTATTTTTTGTTTGCTTAATGAGTTGACTTCAGTTAAAGAACACAATTATCATGAAAAGATTAGAAAAAGTTATTAAAATAACATTCAAATCCTTGTTTTCATCCATAGGTCGGATAAGTAGGAGAAAAAATCAAAGAAAAATGTTGTGAATAAATGTTCCATATTAAATGTCAAGTAAGTCTGTAGTATCAAATAACGTGTTACATTTTTGCCGAGTACATAATTCATTCCAATGAAATCTTCTCCATTTCAATGCTTTTCATATACATACACGTTCCTCCCGAAAGCTTGATGTCACAGATCCCAATCTCGTCCAGTTACTCACTGGGCTAGACCAGGTCCCAATTGGGTCTTTGCATTGATAACAGTATAATGAGTATATCAGTATAATGTTAAGGTGCCGTGCCTAAAAAAACGTGTACGTTATATTGCACTGGCAGTGGCACACTTAATTCAAAAGATTTATACTGGTATCTTAACCTTAACCTCATCCTGGTTCCAAATGAGCATTCATAGAATATGGGTAGAGAAGGCAAATATAGTTGTATTAATCATTCTAATTAATTATTCTGCTATATTTAGACAAACCTTCATTTTTTACACTGTTACCGGCAGGAGTATGTACATGTATATGGATCAGCTGTTAGTAGCGGTTGGGGAGGGCTATGTTGGCTTCCTTAGACTCTAGCTTCTCAACAGTGCTGGTGTTTTTGGTAAAGCTGATCAGAAGTAGAAAAGGACCTTATACGGGGGGTGGGGGTGGGGGGTTATCGGTTTATCAAACTTGGTAACCATCACCTACATATATAAAAGTCAAAGGCCGTGAACTATCACTGACTCCAACTTAAAGTCAAATCTGTAAACACATAATAAATTGCTGTTGGTGGTTCAGTAAACCCTGACCGTGCTCTCTGGACAGGTCAATTCCAAGCTGGTTTACTTTTCTGCTATCAAAACCTGAGAACATACATTATAGCATCTACATGTACATCCTTCTCTGCAAAAAGCCACTGATAGGTACGTAAGGATGACATAACGTTAATGCCACAAATAGTCCCCACGTTTTAATTAGAAAAAGTGCGAGGCCCATGGAACAGAATAAGGTCTTTACTGATATTTATTACCTTCGCAAAGAAGGTAATGTTTTCGGTTCCAATAGCCTTTTTTATCAGAAACATTAAGCAAAGAGATATGAGTAGCTTTGATGAACCGAGGAACAAATCGCTAGATTTTCGTGGTAATCCATTTATAATGGTTAATTACTTAATTATTTGTCTTTGTAGAGGCTTGCCCTTTCTGAGTGCTTTTCTAATAATTTCATTTATTTATTTATTCATTTATTTATTTTGTTAGAGAGCATGAACACAAGGTCGGTAGTAATTCGAAGTATTGCTCTTTTCACTCTCGGAATAATAGCATGGATGGCTTATGTGTCTCTAAGTGAGTAAAATATAACTTTATACACGAATCCACTACCACTATCGTGTCATTTTATATACATGTAATTCCTTTAGAATATCTGATTGAAGCGTTGTTTTCACCAATAGCAGTATATCTTCTGACCTCTCTCTCTCTCTCTCTCTCTCTCTCTCGTACGTTTTCCAGGATCGGTGACTAGTTTGATTGATGTTCCGGAAATGTTAACACTATATCAAATCTGTTTTTTTTTTTCTTTTAGAAATCAGACGCAACGACATAGCATTTGGAACGATGCATGTTAAGGAGACGGGTATTACAAAGGGAGAGACAGTAATGGTAACACCTACATTATCATGTTCGCTCTCTAGTAGTGAGTTGGTTGTAGAAGGCGGTACTACAACCCCGCTGGACCCAAGTTATACATGTATATTATTGTAAAAAAGTAAATAAATAAACACCATATACCCTTACGTAATTAAGGATGATTTAATGGAATAAAATTAACAAGACTCTCCAATTAAGGAGGAAGAAATTGTGGAAGGGCGTTCAACCCTAGGGACCCTGTTTCGTGGATATTAATGTCGGTACCTGGACATTGAATATTTATAATAATCATCAATTTTTTTTTCAAATCTGCCTTTGTGCAGGTTATATTAAAAGTAACGATGCAATAATTCTTCAATTGAGACAATTGAATCATTCACGCCCAGGGACAACCCCACTTTCATGAGTTAGGCGACCTGAGGTCCATTACTGTTGTTCTTTAGCACAAAACATACTACAAGATAACATTCATTTATCTTAAATCCACGTCAAAATCAAAATTCATGAAAAAAAGAAAATTAAGTGACCAACCAACTTTTTCTTTTGGCTATTTAAAACTCCATAATCTGCCACTGAAGTAAGACATGGTGCAGGTTATACAATTTGAAAAAAAAGCATTGCGGACACAATATAGCAGATACTTATTCATATGTTTTTCTTACTGAAAAAAAAAGAACAAAATATTTGACTTTGTTTGCTTATATGCACAGGAACAGAATTTACATGACCACATGTCAATAATTTTAGAAAATTTGAACTCTGATACAAAACAAATTGACAGTTTAGTGTTGACAGTATTTTTGCATCTCTATTTATTAACAGATTCGCAACGACAAAATCAAGAAAACTGTGAAGCAAACCTTCCGCAACATTAGTGAAACTAGTGAAGCCAATCTACAAGACACAGCGTTTCCGGGGAATGCCAAAGCTAGCAGGAGAAAAACTGAAGCAACATGGAATATCTCAAAAACCACGAGTTCACCAAAAACAAGGACCACTTTCTTGCCAAAAACAACAATATCAGAGGAGGCAGAGACGCTGAAAATTTGTAAACCGAGAGGACTCACAGAAAAACTACTCATGGAGAAAGAGCCAAAGATGGTTCGTGAGAAATTACTGAACTTAATAAAGCTTGCTTTCCTCTCTCATTCCACCAACTTTGGTGGATTCCGTTTTACATGGAAGGGTTTAAGGAATTATTCGCTATGGTTAGAAACGTTGAATCCGCTGAGGTTTCCCTTATATTGCTTGATATCTCGAGGCAATTGCTGCGGTTTTGCATAAGGTCAAAATACACATCTAACACAGTAAATATTTGCACACTCGCTTTGAATAAATAATACATGTATCATATATAATACTGTTTAAGCAAACATTTTCATTGCACTCATTTTACCGAGAAAAATTATCAAAACACACACACACACACACACACACACACACACACACACATATATATATATATATATATATATATATATATATATAAATAACGGGAACAAAACCAACTTTGTTTCTGTTGTCTATAAATTGCTCCCGTTTCTTTAGCAGGTAGGCTATTTCTGTTGTCTATAAATTGCTCCCGTTTCTTGCTTTCTTAATTCATCATTTTTTTTCAGATTCCACCCAGGATGAACGCTTCATCGGTTAATACATCGTGGGCAGAGAATATTATAAAACGGAAAGAATTCATACGCCGCAAATGTGCTGAACACAACATCAAAACAAACCCACTACCAGCAGGGGAACGTTTGCATCTGTTTTGGGTCGATGACCACCACAAGTTCATCTTCTGTGAAATTCCCAAAGCTGGCTGCACAAACTGGAAAAGAATCATGCTTCTGATGACGTGCAACTACAACAGGTCTTACATATGGTCCCTGAGTAAGATTGGAGTTCACGAAGGATTGTCCAACAAAGTGTTGAAAAGATTAAAATCATTTACACGCAGATCAGACAGTGACGCCAGACTGAAAAGCTACACTAAAGTTTTTATCACGAGACATCCATTCGAGAGACTGGTCTCATTTTTTCGAGAAAAACTCGATAAAGCAAAAAATGAATACTATATTTATCATCCGTTTATTGCTGGTTACGTTTTACGTTCCATACACAAGAGGCCTAATGTGACAGATGCAATGATTATGGAACATAACGTAACATTCCCAGAATATATCCAGTTTGTGATAAATACCAAAAAGCATCCTGATGTCCATTGGGGTATTCAGCATTCCTTGTGCCACCCCTGCAGCGTCGACTATGACGTCATAGGAAGATACGAAACCATCGTTGAGGATTCCAACAATCTTTTGAAAATGTTAGGGATTGACGAAATCACCTATCCGCAGTCAGACAATGTTGACTTTGCAAAATACAAGACCAAGGATTTGGTCTCCAAACATTTCACCACTCTTAAACCTTGGATGATCAAAGAGCTGCAGACTATGTATAAAACTGATGCAGACATATTAGGTTATGATCTTGATTTAAAGTTAGAATTATCTGTTATGGTCGGAGACTGAAGGCTGTTTTTTATTTTGTTTTATTTATTTATTTATTTATTATTATTAGGCCTATTATTATTTTTTTATTATTATTTTATTTTTTTTTAATTTATTTATTTATTTTATTTATTTATTTATTTATTTATTTATTTATTTATTTATTTTTTTTGGTTCAGGGTCATAATCATTAAAGTGATAATAACTCTTCGTTTCGGCCAAAAAATGAATTTTCCTGGAGTAAACAACAATTTTCCCATACTTACCAATGGTTAATGAATACATTTTTACATTCAAAGTTAGTCCCTGGTTTTTTTCTAAAAAGTTTAGTATAGCCATCAATAGAGGTCACGTGGTCTAAAGACAAGCTCAGATATCAGAATAATAGCTATAACAGCCGTTTTTGTGGGAAAACAGAATATATTATATTTTTATGAGTCATTCACAATGTTTTTATTGTGAAATGCAGATTTCATACGAAGAGTTATTATCCCTTTAAGTTAAGTCAGAAAAAATATTTACCTAATCTTAACATTGGAACAAACTGATGCAGACGTATTAGTTTATGATCTTGATTTAAAGTTAGAATAATCTGTAAATGTTATGGTCGGAGATTGTTTTCTTTTTTTCCGATATCTGTTTTAATCTTTGTCTAACGACAAAACTAATTTTTTAATTATTTTTCATTTATTTAGCATGGCTTTTATTTCACAAGGTCAGTAACGGTTTTGTTTCTCTCATACAGTCCGATTTTAGAAAGTCGACTTGAAGTGTTATTTTGTGAGAACAAAATTTAAAGACACAAGTCGCGTGAGGCTATTACCGCTCGTAGCGTTCTCTAGCGGCAGTTTACAGTACACAGAAAGCATGCACCCACAACGTTGCCGTACATTCAAGCCATCTCTATGAGATCTTGAAATACTTCAACTTTGCTTGTTACTCTTGAAAGTGGATGTATAGAAAATGATTCGCCGAGAACAAGAAACACAAACAATGTAAGAGACGAGACAAGTTACAAAACTTATTGTAGTATAGAAAGAGGGACGCGTTAACGTCCATAGCGATCGATGTATCTACCCGTAACCCGTAACAGGTATGAAAATGTTAGAAATCGAGACACTGGCAATAACTTTTGCAGACAAGAGCGGACGGTAAATGACTTTAAAACCTGCACGAAACCTGCATGAATAAACGTTCCCGGTAAGTTCATTAATATTGTTATCAAATTTGGGAGCAACGAATTTTCCACGCTAACACTTGTGTTTCAGGTCATAGCTTGCGTCTGCATAGCGCGTTTGATACATTGTAGCAGACACTTGAAACTTACGTGAAAACAGGGATTGTTTACGCTCTGCATGCTGGGTAAAAAGGGCAAACTTCCGGTTTTGTTTCATAATACAGTACGGAGTAGGTGATATATTTAGGTTATGATCTTTGTTTAAAGTTAGAATAATCTGTATTCGTTGTGATCGTAGAAGCGGTGTTAAAGCCTTGCTTTTTTATTTTTTAATCCCCGTGCGGAATCTATTCAGTGTCTATCAGGAATTTAGCAGCAAGCTTTTAAGTGGGCCCCCATATTTGATCCGCGGATCTGTTAGTCCGCTGTTCTAAATGCACTCAAAGACTATTATACCATTATGTAATGATTTCCTTGAAAACTCACCAATCAGCTCTTAATCACCATCTACATACCAAGATTCAGATATTGAGTTTTTTTTTAATAATAATGATAAATAGGGACTAGTGAATTGTTTCCATTTATCCTTTACGTATTATTTTTAGAAATTACACCTGTTGGCCTATAAGACATCAGAAGAATAAAAATCTTGCATTGGTTAATGCATCTGTTTCAGAATTCAACAATTCAGCACCTTCCTTCACCCCCGGGAGTATAGGGCATATAGGGCGCGCTAAACCTTTAACTAAATAATGAAAATATGGAAAATTCAGTTTTTTTCTATCCTTGATGTTTCCTAATTGCTGAACACAAGTGAGAACTACTTTGTCACTAAATTGTTTTTTAGGAAATTTATCATTGGATTGTATGACACAAAAAGACTGGAAAAAAGGAAGTTACTTCTCTTAAAAATTGACACAGCACAAATCATGCTTTGTTTACTCCAGAAACGTATCCTTTATACCCTTGTCCACACGTTGGAGTAGCCTCCCTCCTCCCAAGACAAGAACGTCCATCGTGCGTCATCCAATACACCATGGATCTACCAATACACCGTACCTCGTCCAAACGCCGTGCGTAGACCAAGCCGCAGTAAGTCGGCGAAGACGCCGTACGTCGGCTTAAACACCGAGCGTCGAGCAAGAAGCCGTATGTCGACCAAGACGCAGTGAGTCAGCCAAGACAACGTTCGTAAATAACCTGAAAGCTATGAAACCTGGACTGTCTGAAAAATGATTAAAAAATACAGTCATGTCTTGAAGCCTAGGCCAAGATTCCGCGCTTGACGTAATGTATGGTCTCCACCAGAGGCCGGTTTGGCAATGGCGTCATTTCTGTGCAAATCTCCTCTTTTTGCAGAACAAGCCTGAAAAATATATGAAAGTATCTTTCTCCTTTTGTTTCCAACGTACTCATATAATCGCCAGCTTTTTTGTATTTTTCTCAACGCCAAGAGGAGGCGTTTTAGTCTGTCAATCTGGTTGCATTCAGCGAGAGTCCCCGAGTTTGATGGATCTAGGTAGGACGATAGTTTTATTGGGAATGAGTCCTACTGTATGTGACCCCCCCCTCCCCATCCCCCCCTAGAGGGTAATAAGGGTAACAATAACCCGGGTAATTATTTTTACTTGTCTCGTTTTGGACAGAGAGTGAATTTAAATGACTTAATGCTATTTTAATTTAAAAATTGTTCTTAACTATTTTTTCAATTAATATCATCCACTTGTAAATACGCTAAAACAAATATTTGTTTACCCTAATAGGCCTATTCTAGAACTCAGCATTCATTCCATGCCTATTGCAGCTTTATGACTAAATGTTGACTTTTTTTTTTTTTTTTTTTTTTTTTTTTTTTTAACTTAAGAGCTTGCTCTCCACTTGACGAAAGAATGCTGGACAGCAATCTCTTTAGTAAACAAAATTAGTAAACATCTAGTTCTCTAGCTGCAAAAGGCCTATTACCTCGATGCCAGCGAAGTTAAAGCTGCATTTCTTTATCTCTTACTTAGCCGTTGTGGCATATTTTCCTGAACTCCTCCACATTAAAATTGTCAACCAGAGCATCATATACATCATTTATTGTTATGCTAGTCAAGTTTGTGCCCTCAGTGAATGACCTAATGTCTTCTTCAGAGTAGACGTTGCCCTCTTTAGCAACAGACGCACTCCAAGTCTAGATCAGTTGACATGACTTAGGGGGCGTTCAGATAAACCCATCGTACTGGCTGGATCGAGCCAGCTCTGCAGGAGATTCTCCCTAAGTGCAAACACTGTAATCCGCTTATATTTCTGACATGCCTCCTAGAGCCGCTAGGGGTAGTTAACTAATTTTAAAACTACAGATTCAGGGAGCCGTGTCAGACAACTGAGCTTATCATACTGAATTCACTTTAGCGAGAATTCCCTACAGAGTTGGGTCGATCCAGCTGTTACGATGTTTGAATCTGAACGCGGTCTTAGCAGCATAGTACGATATGTTCTGTTCTCCTCGGTGCTACTCCGCACTCAGGTACGGAAATAAAAAAAATCTTATCACTGAGGCATAGCTAGGAGAGGGAATAAAAATCAATAGCCTGAAGTTCTCAGATCTTTATTTCTCTATCTCCTTTAACTCCACTTTGTAAGTTAATTTAATTATTTAAAAGTAACTAGACATCTGGATCCAGAATTACAGTATCACAGAAGATTTATGATATAATCAAGTATAAAGTCGTAGCCTAGGTGAGTGGCAACAAGGTACTAACAATGGATCTTGACAGGAGGTTACTCGTGCCCTCGATAAATTATCCATTTCTAGTTGATAAAATTTATTCATGCGTTATTAACACGAAATATTGGCTGACTAACTGGTAAATCTTTTAAGACTGCCACTCACCGATACGCTGTTATATGAGTATGTAATCATATATAACATAAATATGACACATGAACTAATATGACACGCAATCTTAAACGTCCTTGTAAGTCGTTCAACAAGATACTTCAAGTGCCCGTCGATCTTCAAGTCAAAACCGCGTAGAAACGGGGTGCTTTTAAGAGAAAATAATGTCTTATATGATAAAAAATGGGCCCTCAAAGTTTTAACTGTCCAAATTTAACTGTACCATAGGTCTCCTAGCTGTTACAAAACTGAACGTTCAGTTTTGTAGCAGCTTGATCGAAGCCTCTTTGTAGAGAGCGCGAAAACTTAGTATACATGTATGTACTGGAAAATAGTATTTTTAGAACTAACATCATTTGACCAGACTATAATTTCTCTTTGTTTGTTTAGTCGGAATCTTTTAAGAATTGTTCTTCAAAAATAGTTCGAGAAACAGTTGATGTGGAGAAAGGACTTTTCGACACGAGAGATTTTCCAGTTCAATGAAATATATAAAATAAATAACAGGTGGGGAATTCCATTGTGAAAACAATGTATATTTTTTAACGCTAACACCGAAAGGAGAATTGGTTTGCGTACAGAGCTTTTCTATATGAAAAAAGGAATGCCTCCTGTTTTGTATAAATGACACGGATGCACGTCGATCGCTGGTTGAGCTGCAGTAATTCTAAATGGGAATGTATCGGCTCCTTTACCTGAGCTGGTACTGCATGATAAGAATAATATAAGAAGGCATTTGTTCATGACCTCTTTCCCGAGGCTGCATGCTAAGTAGTTAAATTGGCAATAGGCGATACATTTTAATTGCCCAGCATTATATCTGCGTTATACTTTACCAGGTCATACTAGGCTGTACTTGGACGCCGCTGACTTCAATGAGAAGATGATTTCAAAGGTAAGGAGATGTTTATTTATTTATTTATTTATTTAGAGTTCTCTGAATAATTGAAAGTGTAGTCACAG